AAAAACATTAGAGAAGGAAAGAAAGAGAAAGTATAGAAATCAGCAATCAGAGTGAATATTTATACACATATGTGATGATATATGCAGTGAAGCTTCAGGGCGGAAGAATCTATATATGTTCATAGCAGCTGAGAATCAGTGATTGAGAATGACTGAGAATCAGAGCATACATGTTTGAGAATAAGGTGGAAGAATCTATGAAGTGTAATGAAATAGTCTATATAATTGATCAGGCGCAGCCTGTCACATTAGTCTCTCTCTTTCAGAAGCAGTTCTTATCAGTCAAGAGCTACTGTTTTGAATAATGCAGAACTTGAAGTTCAGGTCAGTTAATCAAAGCTGACTCATTTCATGAGATATTGCTGACTGCAGCTGCAGAGTCTCTCATTGAGAATATTCTCAATCTCTCACTCAAGCTCATTATCTTCTTCTATGATACCTGGCGGCTGTCAGTTGAAAGTCAGTTGAGAAGAGAATGAGTCAGTGACAGCACAGTGAAGCATGCTTATATAAAAGACATTATAAATCTCTGATAATGTGCCAAGACAGTAGTTATGACTATCTAGAACTTCTATCACTTTATACTTGATATGATGATAATTCAGTGTATGAGATGAATATATGATCTGTATATTCTTAAGATTCAATCATATCAGATCTTCTATTTTATATTATTTAGTGAGATCTCAGTGAATGTTAATTCAATCTTCTTAATTCTGTTTAGCACTTATCATGAAGATCTCTGCTCAATCACAGATGTCTCAGAGTTTCATTACTATATTATTAACAATCTGAATTGAACTGTGAGAGTTCAGTGTGAAATGTGTAATCTCTAGAAGATTCAGTACTTTTATGTGATATTCATGTATAAGAAAGAATGAACTTACATCTGTTGAAATAACATCTCAACTGTTGATAGCAATCTCTGTGTGTAAAAGAAGATCATATCAATTATCTTGTAAGTAGATACAGAACTTATAAAGATAATTCTTCACAGTCTGAATTATCTGTTCTGACATATCATCAGTCTCAGAATGATAGATAGTTGACAGACAGCATGTAATCTTGAGAACTTGACAGATTCTTGTTCAGAGAGTACTCACAAATTGATAACTCTGATTCAATACTATAGATCTCAATAATTCATGTATTTAATAGAATGAGCTCTGTAGAAAAGCTTCAGTGACTTGTTCAGTATTCACTTTATTACAAGATTTCAATATTATATTCTTACTTAATCAATTCACAATGATCAGAATGTTTCTATAACTCTTACTCTTAGATAGATTAATAGTGAAGTTAATTACTACATCTCATCAGATTCTATCAGAGATATTGAGTGATTTCAGTAGATCTTTTCTACAGTTCTTTTATAAGATAATGAAAGAACAGTGATTACAGTTTCAGACAAAGTATCTAATACTATTTAATATCTCAGGTTAATAGAACTCTCACAAGATTATTCTATACAGTTATTCACAGTCTGAATAATCAGTTATATACAAATCATACATCTCTTGCATTATCTGAGTGTGTAAGAGTTTGAAGTGAGAAACTCAGTGTTATTCATAGAATTGTAGAGTGTTATTATCATTAATTGAATATTCTGAGATGTCAATTCTTACATGTAGTTCTGAAGAAAATCAGAGTACTTCTTGTCATACCGCTTCAGTGAGTGTTTGAAAAAGTTCATTGATTTAAGCTGCTGTATGTCATAGCTCATCTAATATAGATTCAGAAGAAGTTGAGATATCAGTAGACTAGCCGGCAGGACCATGAATTTCACATTTCATTTCATTTGATCTGGTCTTATACATTGCTTGACGTGAGTCTCACCAGGACCAAGCCTCAAAAAAATCTGAAAATGAATCATTTCTGAGAGAAATGGCATGAAAAATGACCAGATTTAATTCAAGAACAGTGAAATGAAAGTAATTTCTCAGAATAAACTGTGAAAGATGATCATTCTTTCAAAATCAGAATGAGACTGAGACTGAAGATTAAAATCAGTCTCATTCAGTTCATTCAGTGATTGCTTATATAATCAGAATTTGATAATGATTATTAATAACACTCATGAAACAACTAAATACATTCTTATACAAGTTTATTCTTCACTTTCTCATGAAAACTATACTTCTCTGATATACTGTGATCAGAGGTATTAAACTGTCTGATAATTTCATGTTTTATAATTATGAGTTTCTTGATTATTTCTTCTTGTAATTGTTCTCAGTAATAGTGATAAATATCTTGACTTGAGTTGAACTTTCACTTCATTCTCACCTCTGTCAATGAAATTGTCAGAATATCATGTATCATCAGTGCAACAGTTGAATATGTACTCTCAACAATTTTTCATAACTCTAGAATTGATTTGATATGTAAATTCATCAGATCATCTTGAAGATAGCAGTCAAATTCAGTTTTATAAGCATGTAGTTTTGCCTGATTTTCAGTTGCAATCAATGTATACAAGTTCTGTTTCAAAGTTAGTATTATAGTTCTATGAGATATGAAGTGTTATCAAAGATCATTACTTACTAGAGAATTGTATTTCACTATCTTCATATCTTGAACATCTGCTTGTTCAAATCTCTGATAATTAGTATTGTAGTAGTCTCAGACTAATTTAACATACAAGTCTCATTTCTTCTCTGTTCAATCATGAGAAGTGTAGATATTAACTCAATGAGAGAGATCTAGTAGAGCTGCTATAGCATAGTACTCTGCAAAAGATTGTTCAGTTTTACTGTAGTAATATATCAGTTTATCTCTTATAGTAATAATAGTCTGCACTATAGCATCATCTCAGACTGAATTTCTTTTTGAGTGATGCAACTACTTCTTAAGATAAGTAAATAAACTGTTATACACTCATCAGACTGACTGCACTATTAATGTATAAGTGATTGAGACTGTCTTTATTGTTTTATAAAACTGAAACAGTAAATCAATCACATATTTCAACTGAGTTCACTTCATATCAGAAAGTTTCAATATCTGAATCTTTTTCTGATCAGAGTGTTGCACTCAATAATCAATTATCTGACACGATTGAAGAGTCTGAATAGTCATCTTATATGTTGAACTTCATTATATTCTAATATTCTGTATCATATTCAGTGATGTGACTGATTTATTTATTTATTGAATATCATGAAATCATTGTTGTTATTTAAAGAAGATACAAATCACATTAGCAATGTTTCAAATCTGTGATATTTAAATTATTAGTCAATCTATTCAAAATTAACAGTAGCATTATCAAAAAGCATTATCAAAAAGCAATATTAAAAAGTGTTGTCAAAAAATATTATCTTTTATAAAGTGAATGTAAAAGTTACTTGAGTAATTACTTTTATCTTATTCTTATCTCAAGAATCAGTCATCTCATTATTCTTCATCTCAATATTAAGATTCTTTATCAGTGTTTGTATCACAAGTTGAATCACATGAGCAATACAGAGAATATGACCTTATTTATCATTTCAGAAATGCAAAGTCAATTTTTGCTTCAAGCTCTTCATCATAGTGTAGTTATTCACAGCATTGTTAGTTATAATTGTAAGAAGACTGAGACTAATATTTCAATAGTTATTTTTAATCACAGTTATTAATATCTCTGTTATATAATTCTCAGTATGACTACTGATTAATGATTCAAATTCAATTAATATCTCTTAATAAGTTCAGTTCTCATCAATATAATAACATGTAACTCTCATAAATGTAAGATTGTTTGTACTAGTTCATGCATTCACTGTGAGAGATACTCTTTGATAATTCTTCAACTCTGATTCTAGATGTTGCATATTAACTTTGTAGTATATCTCAAGATTGAACTGAAGACAGAATCAATGTAGAATATGAAGATTTGAATTAAGCATTTAAAGAAGTGTTCAGAATTCAGGATTTTCAATTGATTGAGAAGAAAGATTCAGAGATATACACATGTGAAGTAATTATTCACAGAAGTTATCAGATGAGAGTTGTGAAATCAGAGTACTAATATATAGTCATTTTCACATGATTTTCTTCAAATTAGAAAGTTAGTGTTACTAAAAATCATTATCTGATAGAGTAACTTACCAGCTCAGTGATAATTTTCTGATTATTTTTCTTTTATTATCTGCATTCTGATGACTTCAGATGTCAGAAAATTTCTTCAGAGTTATAATCAGTCTATGATGAATGTTTCTGAATGAAGTTGCAGTGATTATAGCAGAGAGATGACTCTTCAGTAATCTGCAATACAATCTGTTAATAATTATTTTATAGTTTATCTCAGTGTTTGTGTTGAGTTTTTCATAAATTTCATGACCTGGAATCAGATGTGAAGAATGAAGTAATTATTCATAATAATTGAAAGAGAGCATTCTGTGTTAAATTGTAAACAATATAGACTTTGTAATTCACAGTGATTTCTTGAAGAGTTTGTGAATCTTCAATAGAAGTAAAAGAAGTAAAAGAAGTGAATTCAGAAGATATGATAATAATTTGAGAAAGATGATAATTTATTTTCAATAACTGATCACTGATGTGTGTAAGAAGAATTAATATAAGAGAAAATAATCTTGTTTCTTAGCTTAGTTATAATTTTAGTACTAACTCAGATTGAATATTATTGATGTATAAAAGTAAACAAACAATCTTGATTAATCTCTATCATATTTCTTGAAATATATTAATATTGTGAAAGAGAGTGTTATCAAATTACATTATCAGATAATATTATTAAAAATATATTAATATTGTAAATATCAATGTTGAAAAAATGTTGATACTTATACATTATAGTGATTTGTGAATCATGATAGTTAAATATATATATATATATATATCATTTCTGACTTGATTACAACTTGTACAATAATTTTTGAAAACTCAAAATCAATTTTAATTATTAATAATTAAAAACTTAAACTTATAACTAACTAATATAAAAAGAAAAAAATCTACTTCTTCTCTTTCTCATTCTTCTTATTATTCTTCATAATTCACTTCTTATTCTTCTTCTTCTTCTTCTTCTTCTTATCTGAGACAATAATCACCTCAAAATCTCTCTTCACTGTCTTCTCAGAGAAGGGTTTCTGCTGCTCTCTCTCAGTCAGATCAATCTGTATCTCAAAATCCTGCATTTTCTGATCTGCTGTCTCAGGTTCCATCTCAGCAGCAAGCAGATTGACATATTTAGAGAGCAGAACTGTCTTCTCAATGTTCTGAATCATGAAGTGCATTCAAGACCTGAACAAGGTCTTAATTCTCTTCTTCTCTGTCAGCTTCTGCTAATTAATTAGAGAACAGAAGTATTATCAAAAGTTATTATCTCTTAATAAATAAAAAACTTATCAGTTTTGACTTCTTTGTCTCTCACTTTAATACTCTCTTAATCTTCTTCTATCACTACTTATTTATAGTAACACTCTTCTTCTCTCTCTCTCTCTTTATCTTGAACTCAAATTATTCTCAGAACTTCTTCTAATTTCATTACTACTGTATAAGACTCTTCACTATCTTCTTCTTCAATCTCTCATAGACAGTGTCATCTGCATTATTTCTATACTTAGTTCAGTCTAAATCTATCAGAAGTATTACTTAAAATTGTTATCATTCTACTCTCTTACAGAGCCTCTTCAAGGTATTATAATATATCTTATGATCTGTCTTCTCTCACTTAAATGCCTTCTTCTTCTCTCTCTTCAATCTGTGATAGTACTTACATGCCTTGATAATCTGCAGAACCACAGAATATTTGAAGAGAAATAACATGATTGATTTCAGTGAGTGTTGAAGAGAAATGAAGGCAGAAGAGACAGCTAGAAATAATATAATAATAATGATGATAATGATGATGATAATAATGATAATAGTAATAATAATAGTGATGATGTTGATGATAATGATGATAATGATAATAATAATGATGATGATAGTGATGATGATGATGATGATGAAAGAGAGAGTGTATTGAAATATATTACTTACTTATCAAATATAAAGAGATAAAGAAAATATTAACAGCTTTCAGAGATATACAGAAACAGCTACAGTGTTATATAGCAATATTATCTTCATTCAATACATGCAGTGTTGATATTCTTTGTATATAGTTATTATATAATCTATATCAGAAATACATGCAGAAAACAGATCTTTATTATTAGAGAGAATGATTGCAGTGATTCTCTATTTTCATATTATAAAGATAAGTTATTCTCATTTCTTTCTTCTCTCTTTTCTCTTCTTCTTCAATTCATCACTAAGTTCAAGCTGACATGAAAACTATTAAAACACTCTTAGAAACCCTCAAATTGAAGAGTATAGATTAATTAAATTTTAAATACAGAAGAATTAAATTATATTTAATATTACTAATTATTCATTTCTCTTCAATAAAATCACAGTTGCATCTTCTCTCTCTTCTCTCTTAAATGAAATATAACCTGTGAAAAGTGAGTATCACATCAGACTATAATGATTAACACAGCCTCAGCACACAGAACTGTATACACACAGTATGTGCTGAACTGAGAGACTGTGTGAGTTGCAAACCAGTATCAGTATCTCAGAGAGAGCTGTGCAGCATGAGAAAGTCATAACTCTCAGTCACATATGCAGAGAGTGAATCATTGCAGTAAGTGTATATGTATTGTATGAAAGTAATGCTTTTTAATAACACTCAGTCTCTGATATTATGAAAATAGAGTCTCTCTGTGAGATCTGTTTTTATCAGAAGTCAGAGAATCTTATATTTCTCAAGATCATCTTCACCTGCCTTGTCTGTGAAATTGATGAAGAAAATCATTGATTTCAGTATTCTGTTCTTAATATTATTCAAGTGACAGCAGAGTCCACCCTGGCCACACTTTTTAAGTGTATATTTTCTAAATATTCACATTTATACAGATATATACTGATTATTTATTAGATGATGTTAAGATAATGACTCATCACAGTCATGTTACTCTCACTATGAGAGATACACAGTTGATAATGAACATTGTAAAGACTCTGAGAAGTGAGTATTTTAAGAGTACTGTGACTCTGTGATCTTGATTTTTTTTGTTTTTATTTTTTCTTTTTTTCTTTTTCTTTTCTTTTTTTTTTTTCTTTCTCTTTTTTTTTTTTTTTTTGTTCATTCTGATTTTTTCTTGTTTTTATTTTATTTTTTGTTTTTTGTTTTTTTTTTTTGTATTTTATATTTTTTTTATAATTAAAATTATATGAATTATAATCTGTGTTCAGAAAAGTAATGATATTTGATAATACTCTCTATTGAATTTTCAATAAATGAGCACTATGTTATGATATTATGTAAGTGAGAAGTGATTTCATAATCTCATTTAGTGTCATTCTCAATAATGAAATCAGAATGAAAATGTGACTAAGAATTTAAATATATTCTTTATTCAGAACTAGATTTTTATTTGAAAAGTAAATCTGAGATCTTTAATATTTGAAATAACATGATTTGAAATCAATGTGATGAACACAAATCATGATCAGAAGTAATGCTTTTAGGCAATATGATAACTGTAAAGTTTGATCCTGGTCTCAGACACGGTCACACGGTCAGTCTAAATATCAGTGACAGTTCTAATCAGAGAAGCATGTATAGTTCTAATCAGAGAAGTATATATAGTGTTATGAGCTGTTTCATCTTGATTAACTAGTATCTTTGAATTCAAGAGCCAGTGCTCTTGATTCATTCAGCAAGTATCTGTTACATTGAATGACATATCTTGCTCTTGTTGTAAGAGGGCATCTGCCATCGAGTTCTGACTGCCAGAATAGTAGTGTATTGTAAAATGAAAGCAGCTTAAGAACTCAGATCATTGCATCTATTATTCAGTAAGTTTATAAGTAGTTGTGAAGTATTTGAGATTCTTATAATCTATCATTATCTCAAATTCAGAGACACTTCAGAGTTCAGAGTCTCATTCTTCTAAATAGTGTACAATTGTAAGAAGTTTCTTATCATAGATCTTATAATTGCATTCAGCAGGACTTAGTTTCTTAGATGTGAAGATGTATAATTATAAGACATCTTCATCATCATATTGCAATATAGCTTCTTCTGTGACATAGTCAGAGAAATCAGCTTTAACAACTGTCTTGTAATCAGAATCAAATATTATTAACAGAGAGGCATTAATAAACATCTTCTTTATTCATATAAATGCAGCTTCAGTGTTCACTGATCATTGAAATACTGAGTCTTTCTTAGTGAGTTCTGTAAGTAATCTCATGATATCTGAGAAGTTTCATATAAATCACTGATAGAAGTTAGCAAATTCAATGAAGCTTTGTATATCTTTCACAGTATGTGAAGCTTCTCATTCAAGAATGACAGAGATCTTCTCAGAATTCATTCAAATTCTCTTATCAGCTTCTATGATGAAATCTAAGTATTTAGTACTCTTAACTTTGAAATCACACTTGTCAATATCAATTAATAGTCCTGCTTCTTGTAGTTATTGTAATATTCTTCACACATGCTCTTGATACTCTTTTCTGAATTCATTAGTAAAGATGAGAATGTCATCTAGATAAGCAGATACAAACTTATCAAGAAAATCTCAGAGTGCTCAGTTGATATACTTCTGAAATATACTGAAGACATTAGTCAGTTCAAAGAGTGTGACTACTTATTCAAAGAGATCATAATATGTTCAGAATGCTGTAAGTCACTTATCTTCTTCAGTGATACAGATCTTATGAAACACAGTGATAATATCTAACTTTGTAAATTATTGAGCTTATTCAATGCAAGCTAGAGTTTCATTGATAAGAGATAAAGAATAACAGTTCTTCTTTGTTAATCTATTCAATTCTTGATAATTCACACAGAACTGAAGTCCTTCATCTGATTTCTTTGCAAAGAGAATAGAGGCTGCAGTGAAAGAGTTGCTAATATATATGAATTCTTTATTTAACAGATCATTGAGTGTCTTTCAAAGAAGAAGAAGTTCATCTCAGAACATATTATAAAGAGAGTCTCATGATGATTCAGAGTTCTTACTGTTTCTCTTTTTCAACTTGATACTGTAGTTCACTTCTAAACCTCATAAGAGAGGTAGATTTGTAACATTGTTATCTTGTCAGAAGACATCTAGATATTCATGATATTATTAAGAGAGTTTCATACAAGAATCTGTTGTTGTAACACAGAATAACTTTTCTAGAGCCTTTTTAATATCAGTCAGACTGGCAGAATAGATTGACATATAATTCTGCTGTCAGTGATTTTGTCAGTGACTCTGTCAGCAGTTTTAATGATGACTTCTTTTTCAGAGTATTTTATAAGTGTTGACAGAGATCTGTGTAAGGTTCATAGTCTTGTGAATATCATCTTTGTGAATTCTATCATCATTAGAGAATATCAAGCTTTTGTTTCAAGCATTTAACAAGATGTCTTATTCAGATAGCCAGGCAAGTCCTAACATAAGATTATAGTTGAGATTATCAACTTCATATATGTAGACATTTTCATGTTAATGTTCTCTCATATCTATGTTTAGTTTCACCATATATCAGATATGAACCTCTTCTGAGTCATCAAATCCTGCAAGAAGTCAGGGCTTTGATAAGAGAATATGCTGAAGGTTATAATGTCTTACAACTGAAGATTTTATTATTATATAGTGATATAGACTGCTGTCTATCATGGCTTTCATATTATATATATTATCAATCACAGTAGATACAAGAATTGCATTCATTGCTATTTTCTCTTCAAATTATTGTCATCTGATCTCTTCAAGCTTCTGTTTATGAATTTGAACAGGAGCTAATCTTTTCTCTGTTTTATCAGGGTATTCTTATAGTTATCTTCTGAATCTTTCTTCACTGCAATGTGATTGATGCGGACAGCTGCTGATTCATTCTTTGAATAAGAAGACACTGATCTTTCTCTTGATTAAGAAGATGCCAGTCTTTCTCTTAAGTGTGAAGGCACATAGGTTGATCAGCAGTTGAAAGTGATATGTTCTAATCAGTTACAGTTAATGCATACTCTATGTTGATGTCAATCAGTGACTTTCTCAGAAGTGATTCCAGAGACTCAGAAACCTGTTTGAACAGCAGAAACTCTTGCTTGTGTATAGACATTTGAATCTATTTAGTTCATGACATCTGCATCATTACTGTTCTTCAGCACAGGTGTATGAGTGACTAGAGTATAATGTCTTCTGTCACTGTTTTGTATACTCTTGAGCTTGGTAATATA